CTATTTTCTGTCTTTGCTTCCTTTCTCTTCTTGCCGCCTGCTTCTTGAACAGGCGCACTTTTCTTGACAGTGTCAAGGTCTGTTATTCCACCACTTGACCCAGCGGTCACAACAGTGGGCTTGATATCCGAGAGATAGCACTCTCGGGCCATCCTCTGATCTCCCCTTAGGGACCCGACTGTTCCATTATCCCTCTCAAACTTGAGAAATATAAGAGATGGGATTATAACAGCCTTGGAATTATTCAGGGTTGGTCGTCCCAGAATCATGTTGTAGGCCGAGAGTTCTTCTACTACCAGGAACCGGACTACCATGTGTCGTCCTTCCCCTTTCTCACCCAGGCGGATGGGTAAATCCACTCGTCCCACTAGGTGGAAGACTCCTCCTCCAAACCCTACTAAAGGGTGGGATGTCGGATGTATGCAATCAGTCTGATATTTTAGTTTTGACAGACATTTGCTACTGATAAGATCTGAGGAGCTTCCAGTATCTATAAGGATTCGGCCAACTCTCTGGTTGGCCACTTTACATTCAATAACGATAGGGTCGTCATGCGGCCCCCTTACCCCTCCTAGATCTTCTTCAGTGATGAAAATCTCAGGAAATGAATATTTGGAGGGTCGTCCTTGGTGAACGGAATTTACATCTAGCCGCCTAATATTGTCTTTGTTGCCCCTAATAGTGGGACCGCCTCCTGCGAAGCCGCCTGCAATGGTGTAGACGACTGCATCATCTATATCAGAGTTGTCGGCCTGTTGACTCTTTTTGGCCGACTGCTTTTTCGAGGAAGTGTTCCCTGTAGATTTCTTGACATAAATGTCAAGATCGCCTTGCTCAGCCAGGCGGTCCAGAAACCGCATGAGACTGATGCATTCATTGGTGTGATGACCAACATCTTCATGATAATCACAGAATTTTTCTTGGTTCCGGTTGCTTGCAGAACCCTTCATGGGGACCGGCTTCTCAATTGAGATCCGTCCCTTGATTTCCTTTAGGATAGCTTGGCTATCCTTGTTAAACGCATACTTTGGGGAGTATGGTTTGAATTCTTTTTTCTTCTTCTGGGCCGGCTATTTAGAGGAATCAGCCGCCCAGACCTCTTTTCTTTTCTTCTCATCTTTGTTCGACAACTGTTTCTGTCGCCCTTCTTTTTTGTCGAATCTTTTCCCGTCCGACTGTTTTGTACTACAAAGATCAGTCGCCTGTATATAGGCTTCTGCTTCAATCAAGGCCTCTTGAAGAGTCGCCACCCTCTTTCGGACCAAATCAAATTTGAATGTCGATCCATCTTTGAGGCCTCTAAAAAAGTCAGTATAGGCTACCTCATCCGGTAACCCTTGAATCTGTATTCTCATCAGGTTAAACCGCCTGATGTAAGAACGAAGCCCCTCCTTCTCGCCCTGCTGAATCGTTCCTAAATCAAGGGTCGTCTTCTTCGTAGGTATGTTCATGGCAAAGTTGGAGGTGAATAAGTAAGCAAGCGTCCTGAAGTTATTCACACAACCAGTCGGCAGGTTGCCGAACCATTGTTGTGCGATTCCTTTGAGAGTCGCTGGGAAACACTTGCACAAGTGGAATCATCCAACCCTTGAAGGTACATCAGGTTGGTGAATGCCATCAAATGGTCTTCTGGGTTAGTATTGCCGTCATAGGCGCCTACTAATACATTTTTCACTTTAGCCGGCTGAGCGGCTTCAGCAATTTCCTTGGAGAAGGCTGACGGTTGTTCCCAAAGTCTAAGCAACCGTAGCTGCCAGTCCATAGGTTGGACATTCTTTGCTGCATGCCCACCAAACAGAGGTGGCTGCAAAAAATATTGTCGTTGCGGTACAAATGGTAAGTTTGGTATCGCCTGGTCACTATGAAAGCCGGACTGACGGGAGGTACCGCCTGACTGACTCTCATGATGAGACTGAGTATGCCTCATCGAGGTATTACGCAGTCTGTCTTGGAAGTTTGAAGTAGAGGCCGACTCTGACAATCGGTCATTCTTTTTCTGCTCTAGCAATAGCCGAGCATCTGTGTATGTTTTCTTCGACCCGTCCGCCTGAATATGACGAACAGGTTTCCTCTTTCCTGGAGTAGGAAAGTGGTACTTTGTGAAATCAAGGGCAGGCGCCTCCCACTTCCTAGAGTTAGGATGAGGGGTCGCCTCTCGCCCTTGAACTGGCTTCCTCTTTCCTGATGTGGAAGGTTTCTTAGCCGACTGCTCCTTGGCCAGAGCAGGCTTCTTGTTGAGCAACTCTTGAATCTCTCCCTTGAAGCCCCTCATGAAGGTCATGAGTTCGTTTCTTGTAATGGGAGCAGACCCATCATCCGGCTGCTGCTGAACAGGCGGTGCGCCTGCTGGATCACTGAGTCCAGTTTGAAGATGTTCCCGTTCCCTCCTTTCGGTATGACGGGTGCGTCAGGCCCTTAGGGTCCCGTCTGAAGCTGTGTGAGCTTCAACTTCAAATTCTTCCTCAGTATCATGGTCCGACTGAACTTGAGGGTCGTCCAGGGGACGCCTCTCTTCAGGAGTCGGTATAGACGTGGATGCCATCTCAGAAGTACTCTCCCCACAGACGGCGCCAAAATGTTTCGGGGTTTTCTGACGTCCTGCGGGAGAGTTACAATTCCGAGACTGGAACCGGACGCCTGTACCTGCAAAACAAACGGATGCTCCGGATGATTGGAGATCCGCCTCCGACGGTCAAGTTAGTACTTGATTAAGGAGTAATTAATGCGGAAATAAAAGTGATTGGGTCTCTCTAGGTGAGAGTGTTTAATGTGCGTAATCTCCCTTAATGAGGATTAAGGGAGGTATTTATAACCTTGGGAAACGTGCCAATCCTAGGTTTAGGTTAACCTTGGGCTGATTGGGCTTCCCTTGGAAGTTGGGCCTAGGTGGCCGGTTTCTCCATTAGGCATGGAGTATGCCACGTGTCATGACATAATAGGTCCAGGGTGGACGAATAGGCGTGTGCCACGTGGCAAGCCCTGACAGTTCCAACTGGGGGACACTTGGCAGGACCTGATTGGCTCACGTGGCGCATTCCGATTGGTGGGAGCAAAATCCCCTAATCATTTGCAGTGGAGGAACAAGTCAGAAACCTCGAAGGAAGGTTAGAGACTAAAAGTCAGAGACAAGAATCCTTTAATCATCAGCCGCAAGAATCATTCAATCAGAGGCAAGATGAGTATAATCGTAGGATGGTTGTATAAGAACCAGGAAGAAACTCTTAAATCTAATGCCCAAAAAGATGATTATACTGAACAACTTGATATGTTCAAGGATGCCTACTTCAGTGTGAGGCAAAATAATGAATAGCACACAAAGATCATCCTTAGTAGCACACAATGATATGTGAAAGTTTGATAGACCCGATTTTATAAAATATGAAATTTCATTCATTAGAAATTGGAGGTAGGTTAATGTTAAGGAACTCTTGCTTATGGATATTGTATGACTCCACACTACATATTTTGAGAAGTTACATAGGTTAATCTGAATTATTCTACATTTTTCATACAAAATATGATAATATCAAATGTTAGATTATTCTAAAACTAATATTTTCCTCGGACTTTCTAGATATTATCTCACTAGATTTTTCTAGACTATGTCCTAGAATTACATTGGATGATATACCTTTAGATTTCTCTAGATTAGCTTTTTCTAACACACAACAGTCGCATAAGTAACACCAATTAACGAGTGATTTTGTCAAGCATTTCAATTTAACAAGGAGCATCACAATAATAAAAAAAATGTATTAAATTTTAAGATTGTATACATTATTTACCTATTATATATGCTCTTAACATAGGCCGGTTTCGAGGGCGACAGACCAAGAGAGCAACATACCAAGGCTCAGATTCACCACATAATGAATTAATGATACATTAATAAATTGTAAAATTTGTAATCTTTGTTGAGTTTGTTCACTTTACTACCCCATTCTTATATTCATCAAAGTATATATTATACATCCCCGAGTGTAAGATCAAAGTTGAAGGGAAGTGAATACTTGTATATTGTAGTTGTATACTTGTATTTCATATTTTTTTGGTACTTGGTTCGGCCATGGATGGAATATTGTACCAATTGTCAACTTAAACAGGAAGTCAATAGCTTAAGCCCTAAATGAAACCATACCGGGGGTCTGTTGTTTTTCGTGACGGTTTAGGTGTGTCAACATCTCCGACACATGTTTCTTCTATTATTAATCTGCGTTCTTACGTGTTGGATTCGACCTCAATTCATCGGCTTTTTGATAGTTCTACAGTGCTTCGCATCCTGGCTTTGGATCGCCCTCTTCAGCCGATGGACGATTATTTCGTCTACTGGAAATTTTCTAGGGATGGATCTTTCACTACTTAGTCTGCTTATGCTATGTTGCTTAATCAGTCAGTGTCTTCAGGGGTCTCTAGTGCAATTCAAACCTCTTGGTGGAAGCATTTCTAGGGATTACCTCTTTTGCCGAAAATACAATGTTTTGTTGGAAATTGCTTCACAATACTCTGTCTCTCTCCGGGAATATGCAGCTTAGGGAAATTCCGACAGACCCAACTTGTGTGTTCTGCTACCAGGCACATGAAACGTCAGATCACCTATTCCGTGATTGTTCCTTCACTTCCCATCTTTGGGCCTGTGCTCCGTTGGTTTCCTCTCCTCCTCTTTTGCATGGGAAACCTTTAAACGATTGGTCCGTTGACACGATCTCTGGGTTTCGTTCCTCTCGAAATTGGGACGGTCTGGTCTCTTTTGTTTGCTTCTTTTGGGCAGTTTGGCTTGCACATAACCACAAGATTTTCAGACACGCAGTGTTGTCTCTTAGCACGATTTTCCATTTGGTGCAAGAATGGTTTTCTAGAAGCTAAGTGTCTCAGCCCAAGGGTTCAAGGTCTTCATTTGCTCGTTGGGAAGACCTTCTCCCCCTTCTTTGGTAGCTTCTAATTCTTGTTATCTGCAGGGTGAATCCTCTTCTACTTTTGATGTCTGCATTATTTTTTATAGGGCTTGGAGTGCTAGGGATCTTAGCGCGGGAGCAGGTTGGATTTTTAGGGATGTTTTTTCAGATTCTGTAATGGGTGGCTGCTCGAGGGCCTTTTACTCTTCTTCGGCTCTTCAGTCTGAGTTACAGGCTTGTTTGTGGGCTCTTCGGGCTGCTGATCGCCGAGGCTTTCGTCGTCTTCTTATCTACTCCAACTGCTCGAATCTCTTTTCTCTTCTGAGGGATGGTCGTGATGGCGATATTTTTTTCTTCTGGTTGCTGCAAGATATTCGACTTTCTCTCCTGCGGTTCTCTATCTGCAAGCTTCGCAAGGTTCCTCGTTAGTGGGTTGCCCCAGCTCACTGGTTGGCTGTTCACGCTCGTCGTCGCCAATTGCTTTGCTGGTCCTTTTAGCTTTTGAGTGTGTTTTTCTTTGTTAAGGCTTCTTAAAAAAAATAAAAAATAAATAAATAAATAAATAATTGAAACCATACCAAATTAGATCTGGCACGGGGCCATGGCATTAGCTTTTGCGTGAGACACTTGAAATTGGGGAATTTTAAAAAATAAATTCCCAAATTGAATTAGGGTTTATGCTAGACTTATATTTTCCTGTAAAAATCATCCTTTTCATTCAAAGCTTTAAACTGTCCGAAACCCTAACGAAATTCTCCCTTTAATCACCAAAATTTCTGGGTTTTCTCCATCGGAATGATTGCATAATGAAGCAACCAAAGCGGCGTCACGGCCGCGATCGATCTCCATCACCACCATCATCGAAGAAGCACCACCATATTCACGGCAAAAGCCCTCAACGCCAAATTCATGATCTGGGTAAGCATCGCCCAGCTTTTATTTCGTATCTTGAATCCCCAAATTTACCCCCAAAAATCAAATTAATGTGTGAAATTGTAGCTAGTACCCCACCTTTATCAGTTGCGAAAGTTCTAGATGATAATGGTATTAGGGTAACTCAGGAAGATGTTGAACAAGTTCTTAAATTGTCATATGGTTGTCCTGCTGCTGCTGTGAAGTTCTTTAGGTGGGCAGGGTACCAATTGAATGATAGACATAGCCCTTATGCTTGGAATTTAGTTGTTGATTTGTTAGGGAAGAATTCATTGTTTGATGCAATGTGGGATGCAATTAAGTCTATGAAGGAAGAAGGGATTCTTTCGCTTGCGACTTTTGCATCGGTTTTTAGTAGTTATGTGTTAGGGAATCGGGTTGATGAGACATTTATGACGTTCGAGGTTATGGATCAGTATGGTGTTCCTAGGGACATTGTGGCATTGAATTCGCTTTTGAGTGTGATTTGTAGGGAAGGGAAGACAGAGAAAGCGGATGAGTTTTTGAGGATTGCAAAGGATAAGATTAGGTTGGATGCTGATTCGTTTGCTATATTGTTAGAGGGGTGGGAGAATGAAGGGAATGTAGCTGGTGCGAAGCGGACTTTTGGAGAGATGGTGGAGGAGATTGGTTGGGACCCTAGGAATGTGCCGGCTTATGACTCTTTTTTGTGCACATTGATTAAGGCTCCAAGTGGATTTCATGAAGCTTTGAAGTTCTTGAACACCATGAAGGAGAGGAGGTGTTCCCCTGGGATGAAGTTTTTTGGGGTTGCCTTGGAGGATTGTGTGAGGAAGAGTGATGCCCGAGGAGCTTCATTGCTGTGGGAAGCGATGACAGTGAGGAGCGATTTCAGGCCTGACACTCAAATGTACAATATGATGATTTCATTGCATTCTCATCTTGCTAATTTTGATATAGCTAGAAGGTATTTGGATGAGATGGTTTATGATGGTGTTTTTCCAGATTCAAAGAGTTATAATACTTTGTTTCAATACTTAGTTAAGAGTCGTAAGCTTGATGAGCTTTCATCTGTATTTACCGAGATGGTGAAGAATGAATTTTTACCAACCCAAGCTAATTGCATTGCTGCTGTTAGGCTTTTCTTAGACTCTGGGGATCCATACATGGCTATTAAGGTCTGGAAATTCATGGTTGAGAATTATCAGTCTGAGTTAGAAGAGACTGGGAATTTCTTGGTTTTAGGGCTTCGTGACTGCAATAGAGTTCAAGAGGCAGTTAAGTATGCTGAAGACATGATTGAACGGAAGATAAAGTTGAGTTCCTTTACACTGTCTAAATTGAAACAAAACCTAGTAAAGGCAGGAAAAGGTCCTGTATATGATGAACTATTTAGGAAGTGGAAACTTCGTTAGGTTTGCTATATCACTCTCCAGGCTTCCTATGTCATTTCCAGATTCATACAGCCTCTCTGTTGCAAGGGTGTGGACTGTGTTCCCCTTACCTGCACAAGTGGGAGCCTTTAGAAGCATTGGCTTATTTTTGATCTGCCGGTGTGATGTCATACTCACTCAGGGATACTTGCTGATCAGCGGTAACAAGGATGTCAACATTATAATCATAAATCTAAACACTAATTTGTTTCCCTTTCCAAAAATGTTTCTGGAGGCACACCCTGTACTCAGTAGCCAGAACTGTACAATTGATCTTATGATGGTTTTTTTTTCTTCTTCTGTAAATAAGGGAGAAAATACTTATGTTCGTTTTTATCCATAGTTCTTTTTCATGTGTTTGAGCATTGAAGTTTTTCTCATGTGACCGGTGTTGTCTTCTACTATATTGCTTAATAGCCCTTGGTTTTGTGGCACTCATTTTCATCCTGATAATTTGTGCTGAAATGTAACTTCTGTATCAACTCCAGATGTCCTTGGTTGATACTTGATACGAAGGAAAACCGACATGGATTTTTCAGACTGAGTTGTCCTAAAAAAGTAGTACTCCAAAAGCTTTTTGGATTCACTTGTGATGTCGAAGGCCTTTAAGGTGAGTGGTAGGATGTGAACCTCTGTTCCACCCCAGAATTACTCGTGGTTGGTGATGTATTTAACCAGTTTTTCTACATCACTCTCTTCGCACATGATCTTAATTAGAATTGACAAAAAATAAACAAAAACAAAAATGAGTACATGAACAAGAGAATAATCAGAATGTACCCTCAATAAGTGAGACATTTTTTACTCTGTACGATGATTTCTTTGATGAATTACATGGAGCAGTTTGCCTTAGTTATTTACTATTTCGTGCTCTCATGGTTAATTTTATAAAGGGTTGCTCTATGATGAAGTTGATGTTAACAGAAAAGCTCAAGTTTATTACCAACTTTTATAATATCAACATTCGACCTCTTTAAGTTCGACAACACTCAATAAACATGATCGTCCTCCTTTGCCTTACTATATTATGCATGATGAACTTACCTACAGAGAATATCAGCTTTGAAGTTGATGTTATAAATGTGGCTCCATCGCTGCCCGGAACAACCAACTCCCTGTGCCTGCTGAGCTCAGTATAGTCCATATACTCTATAATGGAAGATTAAGTGGTCTTAATTTGAGAGGAAGAAGTATGAATTCTAGTGTGATTTATTAAACAAACTCTAATGCTTTTATAAGTACTTCGTAATAATATTGAGTGCTAGATTTTTTGTGTTTTTTTAAGATATATAAAATTTAATGGATATAGATACGGAAGCTGGAATAGCTCAGTTGGTTAGAGCGTGTGGCTGTTAACCACAAGGTCGGAGGTTCGACCCCTCCTTCTAGCGGTCTTATCATGTGTTTTTTAGCTATTTTCCTTTTTAAGATCTCAAAAAAGCGAGGCAAAGAGAAAGTCGTGAGCGGCAGGATTCGAACCTGCGCGGGCAAAGCCCACATGATTTCTAGTCATGCCCGATAACCACTCCGGCACGCCCACAGTCATGGCTTAGTCATTATTATAACTAAAAGATTAAAAGGGCTGAACATGAATCACAATCCACATACAACTCTAGAAACTTTTTGATTTTTTGAAGATTTTGTGATTGTTTTATTTGTTTATACATGTGGATATGTTATTAATTTGCACATGGCCCTTGCATCTTTATTTGTAGTTTGGACGAGTAATTAGTATGAATTCTTCTACAAATTGGCCAAAACTACATTTTTGATGATTATTGCATATCCATCATCAGTCGATGATCTACTAATCAACCAATAATCATAATAAACTCATTTTTGTAAATGTACGAGAATAATCTAATCTTTTGGAATTACTTGTGAGTTGTGATAGTGCACCTCACCTTTATGAGCAAAGAATACTAAATTACTAAATTAATCTTTCTGCCAAATATTGTGAATAAACATGAACAAATAATGCTTCGTACATAATATTCTTCCCATCATTTGCAATAATTCTTTGGAACTTTTTTTTTTGAAAACATTCCTTGGAACTTATGTTAACGGATTAATATTTATTTATTTATTTATGATTAAAGTAGTGCTTCAATTATTTACTTAGTTATTTTATTAAATTATATTTATAGATGTGTATTTTTATTTTGTAGAAAAGCTAATTAAGTACGCATTATATTGTATGCATATCATATTATTTTTCAGTAGTGTACACACACTTATTAGAAGAACGTTGAGAATAAAATAAAAATAAATCAAACAAGGACATGCATGCTGACTAAACTTTGAAAAATGTGTCATATCTTAAAAATCATGAACTTGCATTGTCACAAAATACATGACAATCTAATACTAGTGTTTAATTTACTGTTACATAACTAAGATTTGGAATAATGATTTCATTAGACTATGAAAGGGATTGTTTCTAGAAGGCTTGCAAAATTCTTACACATATAAACTAAATTAATTAAACTAAGAATTTAAAGTAACTTGTTTAGTTGAGCAAAACATTGATTAGGAGAAATTTTGCAAGGGAGCAAAGCTAAGCTTACCAAATTTTAGGGAATTATTTTTGTCATAAGCTAGAAATGGGCCCATCATCACGTGTGCATGAGAAACTTGGGTATTGGGGAATGATGATTATGGGTTATTGTGTTTGTTCGTGATCGATCTACCTCTTTACGTGCTTCCTTGCTTCAAGAATCATTAAAAGTTTAAAACTACTCTTAATTTAATTGCCTTCACCGTTACTCCATTTTGCATGTTATATGGTACGTGGTCTCATTAAAGAACCGTACCATTGTACCATGCATGCATGTTTATGGTATGTTCACAATGTGAATGCATACCTTTATGAGCAATTTAGTTTTTGTAATATCGAGCCATACATTATTCTAGGCATCTAGCTCCCTACAGTACAACGACCATATACATATGTACATATTGAAACAAATATAATATGGGTTAATTAAGGTATTACGCTATTACTCTTACTTTAATATGGCTTAATTAAGGTATTCAAAATGAATATATAAATAGTTAAATAAAAACAAAAAAAAAAACAAAGAACTTAGGGTTTGTTTGACATTGTTGTGGTTTTCAGTTTTTTGTTTTTCAAAACCATATGATATAAGTTAGGGCCGTCCCAACCTTTAAAAATAAATTGGTACATGAATTTTCTCTACTCGATTTATTTTTTTAAAAAACAAATTAGGGTTTGTTGTTTAGTGGCAATTGAACCACTGATTTCCCCGCAGCAAACATGAGTTCTCTAAACCACTAGGATATAGTTAGCATGCATTGAAAGTTATTGCAGTATAATTTATATATACATATTTACATTTGAGGCCCTAACCGGATTTGGGCCTTGTGCAGCCCCCATGGTAAGGGCCAGGCCTGATATAAGTCATATAATGAATCAAAAATTAGTTAATTTTTTTTTTTTGAAGACATTAGTTAAACTTATTAAAATCATGGTAATTTTGAAATAAAACTGTCAACAAAAAAGTGGAAACACCTTATTCTGGTTTCCTGTTTTTGGTTAAAACAAAAAACGATGTCAAATAAGCCCTTAGTTAGAAATATGGTATACGTACTCTTGCTCTATTCTTTTTTTTTATTTGCAGTACTTCTATTTTCATGCTTGCCGATGCGAGCATTATTTCAATTGGTAATATCTTTAATAACCAACTAGTTTTGTGCCTGTGCGATACCCGCGTTGTTTATTTAATTCTAAAATAAAACTTTTTATCTAAAATATATATGTTATTAGAATTTTTTATTCATGGATTAATAATCACTTGACAATCATACTTGTCCATTTATGGGTATCTTATGGATTAATAATCACTTGAAAATCTAAAAAAGTTAGAAGTAATAATGTACAAAAAGAACGGTTTTTCAAAGCTGTGATCTCTTTTCATTTTCTCTGAACACCTAAGAAAAGGATGGATTATATATAATAACAGGTCTCTTTGAATTTTTAATTTTTTTTCATTTGTATAGAAATATTGGTATTTTATTGAAAATAACATTCTAAACCAAAAGTTTTATTGAAAATAAAACTTTAAATTAACTTTTTTATCCTACTAAATCTATCCAAATTTTATTGAAAATAAAACACTAAAATAACTTTTTATCCTACTGAATATATCCAACTTTTTTTATCCTATTCTAAAAAAAAATATATTCAAATAAATCCTACATGTCAAGATAATCTTTATTTGTCGCCAATGTGGTGCGACATTTGGCGAAAAGTTGGAACTCTAAGTTTCGTTGTCTCGTGACCTGACTAAAAGTTTAGCTTTATATATTAGTTACATGATATGATATGTAAAAATTATAAAAACTTGATATTAAATATCGAATCATTCATTAAAATCTAGGCATCTAGCTCCCGTAATAAAATCTCTCATAAGTCATAAGTACATAGCTGTAATCTTACGTTATGCGAGTATGGTTTAAGGTATTTAGAGTGAATGATGTGAGTGCAAAGAGATAAAAAAAAAAAAAAAAAAAAAAAAAAAAAAAAAAAAAAAAAACAGCTCTGAAATAATATATGTAAGTTGAAAATGAGCTTTTAGGTTAAATCATGAAAGTATAATATATATTATATAATATATTATGTTGCTAAATGATTGATTTTTGGCAACTCATCATGCATGGGAAAACCATAATTACATAATTAGTGGGTTCATTAGAAAATAATTCGATCTCTGAACATGCATGTATGTGCATTAATATATATATATTATATAGAGACAAAAGGTGTAATTAAAGAAGTTTCATTCATTTATATAGTTTTGTGGCCCCTAATTGTTGTTGATGTACACTTTACAATTGCCATTATAATTAATAAGTGTCAAAATGATAGGAGTGTTTGTTATAAGATATGGTTTTAAATATGATCCAATGTATGTCTTGTGTAAGATATTATGTCTCCTTAGGTATTTTATGGTCCACTTGGTTTTAATTAGGGTCACCTTAATTAGGTGCATGAGGATTGAGGAATATTGACCCTATCTTATGGGTCCCACATTTCTTATATTTTCCACCTTGTATTTACTTGCTATCTTGAGAAATTGTGATGAGTATATATATACAGTATCTCTGTACAACTGTACGAGTATATGGGTAGTGTGTAGTAGTGCTGTAGTGCCATAGAGTCAAGCTAGAGTTGGTCAATGACAATGAGATACTCCGGAAGAGATTAAAGCAGTTCGCTACATCTTCGACTTTTAAATGTGAATTTAGGTGTCGTATTTCACCAAACTCATTTCAGAAGAGATTTTGTACTTTCTTGATTTTACAAAAAAAAAAAAAAAAAAAGGTGGTAATTTGTTATACTTTGAATATAAAAGGATTGGAATTCTCTAAATACTAACTTGACTTACTTTATTCATTTATATATTTCCTCCGTTT